TTTGAGACAAGGTCTTGCTCTGTCACCCAGGCTGGAGTGCAATGGCTTGATCTCAGCTCACTGCAACCTTCGCCTCCCGGGTTCAAAGATTCTCCTGCCTCAGCCTCCCGAGTAGCGGGAATTACAGGTACATGCCACCACACCTTGCTAATTTTTGTATATTTAGTACAGATGGGGTTTCACTGTGTTGGCCAGGCTGGTCTTGAACTTCTGACCTCAAGTGATCTGCCCACCTCGGCCTCCCAAAGTGCTGAGATTACAGGCGTGAGCCACCACATCTGGCCAATTTTCTACATTTTCAATAAAACTTGTGTTATTAGAAATGCATAAATGCCCAAATCAGGTGAGAAATTTCTTGAGAGGAAAAAAATGATCTTCTTTACTGCTACCATGCCCGGACTTCTTTACCATATTCTAAGAGAGGTGTTTCTCCACACATTCTCTCCCTTTCCTCTCCGTGTCCCATGACAGTGATCTTTTTTTTTTTTTTTTTTTTAAAGAGCTGATGACAGACAACAGCAAGCTACTTTACAGAATCTACCAACTGGGTAGGAAAGTCTTCTGAGTTTCTTTGCAGACCAGAAAACAAGTTACCTGTTGATTGTTGGCCAATCAATAAGGGACTTTCCTCTCTGCCATTAAGAGCAACGATGCTGACCACATACTCTGTGCCTGGAGTGAGGTTGGTGAGGGTGATGGAATTCCGAGAGGGGGGCACCCGATCTTCTCGAGGTCTCCCGCTAACGTGCTCAGGGTGATGGCGGATCCTGTAGCCAGTGATGGTGGCTCGAGGAGCAATCCAGTGCACAGTAAAAGAGTTGGCGGTAATATCAGAAAAGTCAATGCCAGTTGGGGAATCAAGACCTGTTGTTCCCACCCAGGGGAGGAAGAGAAAAAAGAAGAAAAGATACCACCAGTTTAGGAAATGAAGAAGGTGTAGGGGAAATTAACGTACATCCAACATTTCATTCCTGTCTCATCAATACCGTGATTTGCCATAAACCTCAGAGCAAGATGTACTGATTCTAAGCTACATATGAATTTTAAAATCTTAAACTGACTCACTTCAAAATAGCCAGCTCAAGCACTCATTTTTTTCTTTTGCTAAGTAATTCAAGCAATTTTGGGGGGTTATTACAGTAGGTTTCTGTGTTACATTTGGAGATAAGTGTTCAAGATCTACTGAGAATTGACATTTTCAAATTCTTCAGTATTTAAGTATTCTATGTTTCTATCCTGTAAGTGTATCCTTCCAAGTAAAGCAAGATCTGCCCACTCTCAAGGTAAATGTTTGACTCTCAGAGAAGCCTCCTAAGCTCAAGAGGGAATTTATATGTCAACAGAGTGGTAATGATGCCAAACACAAAACTTTCTGAAACTAAAGACATTATCCCAGACAAATTACAATGCTGATAATTCCTCATGAATTGACATTTTTGAAAAATGCATTTTTGAAAAATGCACAAAAATTCAGAGTTTGTTGTAAATTTAAACCACTTAGTCTCTGGGACTTCCAGCAAATTTCTGTTTTAGTTACAGCATTTACTAGTTCTATTCAATAAGAAACCAAACTAAGATATCGTAAGTCCTTTTTGGAAGCAAGTAGACTATAAATAAATTAATTAATACACTAAACTGTATCTTTTTAAAGAAAAAATTAAAAGAAGCATTCATATTTAAGCACATAATATTTATGAGGTTCAGTTCAACTTCCTTCTAGTAAATTCATATTTTATTAAGTAAAAAGTAAACTTGCTGGGTTAGTAAAGGAAGAAAAATAGATGACAATGAGTGTTGGGTCAGCCATTAGACAGAGCCACCTAATGAAAAGGAATGTCCACTAAATCTAAATAACAAAGATCTTCTTAGGAAATGTTTTTTAAAAGGACAGACAACAAATTTCTTGATTAATTTGTTAGTGACTGAAAGTCTAGGTGATCGTTGAGTAAGGTATCTTTTAGTTTTTCAGACCAGTGGTAAAGTCATACTGTGATGACAAAAGTGCACACACCACGACCACAAAAAATGGAGATGTATTTCATTTGTTATACAGAATTGGCAGGCAAAAGTCATACTTTTGACTTTATCCAGTATGACTGGATAGTCATACTGCCAACACCACTTACCTGTTTTCTGTCTTCCTCTAAGAGGTGTGCTCTCATGTTGTTCGTAGACACTGGAGACACTCACTACATATTCTGTACCAGGCAGGAGATCTGAAAGGGCAAGTGGGGCTTATTTTAAAACTGTGCTTGAAAGCGTGAGAAACCAAAGCGCACCCAGGACTGTTTCAACTGATGAAATGTCCAAATGTCCAGTCCTAAATCCTACTTACACTTAAGTGAACACTAAGGCAAAGTGTTCACTGAACAGACCTGGCGAAGGTCTGTAATTAGATGACTCAGCTGGATTTCAAGTGGGACGAAGTTGCTGCAACAACTGGATATTTCTGGCATCCACCTGAGAGTATGTCTCTGGAGGGCACATGATAATCCTGGCTGTGGTGCTATGGATTGCCATTGATGCCTCACAACAACCCTGAGAGGTAGTTTGCTACTTTTAAAAGCAATTTTCTTGCCATACAATGTACTGCATATATTTAAAGTGATTTGATGGGTTTTTACATATGTGTGACTTGGGAGACCATCACCGCATTCAAGAAATGAGCAAACCTATCACCTCTAAAAATTTGATTTACAATTATCTCCATTTTGTAAATGAAAAAAAACCAAAAAACAATAACAACAAAAAATACTGAGGCACAGAGAAGTTATCTTCTTTAATTTACTTGCCCAGGATCATACAGGGATTGACCCAGGCCAGCACTGGTGGTCTTAGCAATTAACCTTTACTGGAAAAAAGCCACACTTCAAGAGAAAGCAATTGGTTCTGCCATATTAAAATGAGAGCAGAATAGTTTTTTAAAAATTAAATATACATCCCTGAGTCTCTTCTTCCTTTTTTTTTTTTTTTTTGAGACAGACTTTCACTGTGTTGCCCAGGCTGGAGTGCAGTGGTGTGATCTTGGCTCACTGAAACCTCTGCCTCGTGGGTTCAAGTGATTCTCCTGCCTCAGACTCCGGAGTAGCTGGGATTACAGGTGCCTGCCACCATGCCTGGCTAAGTTTTGTATTTGTAATAGAGACAGGCCTTCACTGTGTTGGCAAGGCTTGGACTAGAAATCTTGACCTCGTGATCCGCCCGCCTTGGCCTCTCCAAGTGCTGGGATTACAGGCGTGAGCCACTGTGCCCGGCCTCTTCTTCCATTTTGATACACAATCATGCATAGCTTAATGATGGAGATACATTTTGATAAGTGTGTGATTTGGTGATTTTATTGTGTAAGCATCACAGAGTGTACCTATACAAACCTAGATGGGCTTGTAATCCCAGCACTTTGGGAGGCCAAGGTGGGTGGATCACTTGAGGTCAGGAGTTCAAAACCAGCCTGGCCAACATGGTGAAACCCCACCTCTACTAAAAATACAAAAAAATTAGCCGGACCTGGTGGCTCATGCCTGTAATCCCAGTTACTCGAGAGGCTGAGGCAAATTGCTTGAGCCTGGGAGTTGGAGGTTGCAGTGAGCCAAAATCGTGCCATTGTACTGGGCAACAGAGGGAGACTCCGTCTCAAAAAAAAAAAAAACAAAAAACACCTAGATGGTAGAGCCTATGACACACCTAAGCTATAAGCTATATGGTCTAGCCTACTGCTCCTAGGCTACTAGCCTGTGCAGCATGTTACTGTACTGAATACTAGAGGAATTGTAACATATGGTAAGTATTTGTATATCTAAAAGGTACAGAGAGTGAGGTTTCTAAACTTGGAACTCCTACTCACTAAACCCTCATTCCCCTGCACACCATTTGCCCTTCAGCGTTTCTGTAAAGCCTCCTGCAAAGTTTGGAAAAGTGCCAGACTGGAGGACCAGATGCTTGGATTCCATTTCCACCTTACTAGCTGGCCAGTGGCAATTTACTTAACCACTGGGGACCTCAACTGCTTCGTGTTTGTTTTTTTTTTTTTTTGAGACAGGGTCTCACTCTGTCACCCAGGTTGGAGTGCAGTGGCATGATCATGGCTTGCTGCAACCTCAACCTCCCCAGGCTCAGGTGACCTTCCTATCTCAACTTCCGACATAGCTGAGACCACAGGTGTGCATGACCATGCCCGGCTAATTTTTGTATTTTTTTTAGAGACGTGGTCTCACTGTGTTGCCCAGGCTGGTCTCGAACTCCTGGGTTCAAGCAATTGGCCCACCTCAGCCTCCCAAAGTGCTGGGATTATACAGGCAAGAGCCACTGCACCTGGCTTGCTTCATCTTTAAAAGAGGATAATAATGACTTTGCCAGGAGGGAGAGAGGCTACCTTGAGGTCATTTGTAGCATTAGGATTATAATAAGGTCTTAGAACACATGATTAACATGTGACAGGTCTATGGCTAAGGGGCAGACACTGTGATACAGGGGCTTGTATACTGGGTGATGCTGTAATTAGTGATTCCAGGCTGCTCTAAAACAGAAGCAATAGCCCTGGGGTGGTGGATATGCCAAATAAAGATATTCTTGCCCTCAGCCACAAAGTAAGAAACCAAGATTATGGTCACGTCAAGCTGCTCTTCTTTGTGTTTCATTGTCTAAATTATGTTTGAAAGGTAGAAGATGTTTTCAGACTAATATTTGTTAATGTACCTAAATGTAAGCTATTTTTCCCTTATGTAGAATCTTTTGCTGTTGTTATATATTTGACTATTACAGTGAAAATAATAAAAAGCACTGTTTATGTGAAACACAGCACCATCTTGCAGCCTACTGTTTGATTCTTTAACAAAAGATGTCTATTCTATAATGGTTGGGACTAGAAAGAGACAATTTCCATAAATTGTTGTTGTTTATTTAATGTCAGGTTTTTTTTTTTTCTGAGCTCTCAGCCTTCTGAGAAATCCTTCTAACAGATTCTTTTTGAAGTACAAATTAAACTTTTGACTCTCTTCAAAACAACATCCTAATCTAGCCCAAGCAATCAGTCACTTTTCTAAGTATTCAAATCCTAAATCAACTACTGACACTTTTTTTATAAAAATGAGAATAAAGCACGCATAATGACACTATTTTCAGTTCTCATTTTTTTCTCTAAAGATTTACATTTAGTCATGTAATTTCTCTTGATATTCACTTATTTTTATCTGCTTATTTGGAAGCGGAGTTTGTTTAAAGTCATGGAACTTTCCTGCTGGTGTTTTTCCACTATGATTTTTTTAAAAGCTGTAGATATCAAAAGTATATTAAGATAGCAACAAACATTACAGCTTTCAAAATTTATGGAGCTGTACATTGAATTTGGAGTTTAGTTTGTAGCTTGGTTGCAGCTGTCTTGCTTTTAGCTGCTCCTACTTGAGAACTCAGAATTCATTTGCTATGCTCTGGGTTAATATTTATGGAACAGATACATTCGACTGCTTACTTGTTAAGACCACTGCATTGTCTGAAGGAGAAATTGACAACTCTGCAACATCTTCCTCATTTTTCACAGGTGAGTAACGCACCAGGAAGTTGGTCAAATCAATGGATGGGGGTGGAGCCCAGGTGACACGCATGGTGTCTGGACCAATGTTGGTGAATCGCAGGTCAGTGGGAGGAGGAACAGCTGGTTTCGAACAAGAAGGAAGACTCATTTAATATAATTTTAAAATTAAAGCTAATGAAGTAGCTGGAAAGGTAAAACCAATATTTCATGCATAAAGGAAACAGAATCATAATCATGCAAACAGTCTAATCTAAATCTATTTTATAGTGTACTACTGTTAAAAATAAAACACTACACACAGTACTGTTAGGCCCCCTTTAACCTTTTTGCCATCATCGATATATTTAAAAAAATAATTTTAATCTACTTTCAAATATGTTGACTTTATGTACATTATTAATACCACTGCAGATTATTTTATCCCAGGCTGAAGAGGCTTAAGTCGCCACACAGCAAAGAGAAACATAGCGGTACTTTACAAAGAAATACATGCACACAGACAAAAAGACAAGAGGGTCCTAAACTTCCCCCCATGTGAGATGTCTAGAGCTACAAGTCCATTCAGTGAATTCTACTTACAAGTGAAAAGTGTTCATGCAAATTGGTTCTCAGCATGTTTCTTTTCCCATGCACAGCAGAGAACCTTTAAAATGTTGCATGCATGTCCCCAGACTGTGGTTAAAGAGGTGTTTCTTTACCTAGTGACAGCAACGAAACCTAGAATGCTCCCAAATTTACTTTTCTCCTACCTCAAAACACTCTACCCTAAATTTTGATGGGTTTTTAGCTACAAAGAAGGAACATGGTAGAGTTTATCAAAGGGTAGAAGGAAGAGCATGATGGTACATTTTGGAGATATATTTCTTATAATTAATTGGTGCTTATACAATTTGGTATTCGTGTTTGGTATTTAAGAAGAAAAATTCTAGGTCTCCAAATTGAATGAACATTTGCTATTTTATATTTAACAGAACAGACATCTGAATTTTTCTAGCTCTATATCTACTTGTGGTTTAAATGAGAGTGTACTGAAGAATACTTGCATATGTTTAGCAGATGCATTTGATTCCTTATCCCCATAGTCCACCCTGTCTTAATCTTTGGCCAATTGCTGACTTCCCCCTTAAAACATCCATATTTAACCAGAGTAACTGGTGGCAGCATGCAACACCATCTATGTCTCAAACACAGAAGTTTTCGAAATTCACCCGTTTGTTGTGTCAGTGTAGTAGGGGCACTCTCGCCGCCATTAATGAGAGTGATAACGCTGATATCATAGTCAATGCCCGGCTCCAGCCCTGTGACTGTGTAGTATCCTACTGAGGAGTCCACAAAATCTTCAAAAATAGGGATACCTTCTCCTGCCGCAACTACTGTGATGCGGTACCCAATAATGGTGGAAGAGTTTAGCGGGGTCCACCTCAGGCCGATGCTTGAATCGGTTATATCAACAAAGCTTAGGTCAGTGAGTTGGGGCACCTCTATTGAGTTACAAAGCAAAGGGGGTGGGGGGCAAAAGGAAAATAGAGGCAAAAAAAGAGGAAAAAATAAAGCAGTGTATATCAGGTTACCAGTAGTAACATTGATGGAATGTTAAAGCAATGATGGTAATATGCAATCTGTTTTAAATTCTCTGAAAAGACTTCCTAAGCATCATGAACAGTTTGCTTCCCTGGAAGAATAAAACAGGTTACAATATTCTTTTAGGGATTTTTTTGTTTGTTTTGTTTTGGTTTTTGTTTTTGCATTTTGAAAATGTCCTTAAAGGGTACAATTTGAACTGTTCAGATTCCTAAAAATCATATGCCTGTTTAGGATGTCAAAACCATTCTTAGAGCCTAGACATAGTATCTGAAGTAAGCATCAGCAATGTTTAATAAGTATCTGAAATAAGTGTATGAAGTATCAGTATTATTTAATAATTCCAAAACTGTTTTAGTAGAAAATAAGCTTGCATGAAGAAGGTTAAAAATAATAATAATTAGGTGATAAATTGATATTTTTTCTCCCATACAAAACTCATGACAATATCATGGCCATAATGCTAATGCATTATGAATGTATGGTGTGAAATGTGCCATTCAAAAGCACATTGAGGCTTAGGAAAGAGGCTTAAGGTCAAGGCCATTGCCACTATTTTAGTTCATTTATAATCAACATATGTAATTAGCGTTAGTAAAAGCATTCTTCTGAAGAGTCCAAAGGGGGACACAACTGTCCAATGCTTTCATTCTGTTATAACCCAATGGACAAACAAGCCTATCCTTAGACAGGCCTTTACAATGTTGTCTTTCAAGCCACAACAAAGAACACCCTGAAGGTGTGGCTTTTACTTCTTTTTTTTTTAATCCAATTTTTAAAAAGAAGGATTTGAAACTGCAAGATGAAAAACTGGACGTGTCAACCAAATGCTGTTTCCGTGCTCACATACGAGGACAAAACTATTTTATAGGCAGCTGTTGGAAATTGATACGGACTGTAAAATCAGGCAGAAATGTACTGATGGGATGCATTTACCATATTACTTTGAGCCTGTCAGTACTGAGTACAGACACGTGACAGTGTTTTAGTCATACTTCCATGTGAGCGGACATTACAGAGTTAAAGCCGTGGCTGCCACTCCATTACATACTCGCTGCAACACACAGCATCCCAGTGAAGCACAGACAGTAAAGCGGTGTTAACAGCAAGCATTTGTCCAAATCGCTGCTTTGACTTCTTGGTTTTGGAGAGTGCAGCTGGGAGATCGGAATTAAATCCCAACTATATTTGACACCCTTAACCGTCTAGGGATTAAGGTGCTAATCCCCACTCTTATTGGAAGTGCCACTCTCAGGATAGCAGCTTATTTTTCTATTACCTGGGATGATGGTATCAGAGATAGGGACACTTTCCTTGTCATCCTTGACAGTGTAAACACTGACATTGTACTCCAGGCCGGGACTCAGGTTATCAAAAGTGCAGGAGCTCTGATCAGCATGGACCACTTCTTCCAAAGAATATCCCTGCTGGCCGTTTGTAGGGGTTGTGGTAATTCTATAACCAGTAATGTCTGGAGGAAAAAGAAAAGAGGAAGTTATTGCACAGAGCATCTGTGAGCCAGAGCATATTTAACTAGACTCCAATGACGGACTCACAGAGCGGAATGCAGAAGGACTTGGCATTTGCTGAGGACTCCACTGTCACTGTCTTTCAATGCTTGCAACAATCCTTTCAGGCAGTACTAAGATCCTCACTTTATTTTATTTTTTGTTTTTATTTTTTGAGACACAGTCTCCCTCTATCACCCAGGCTGGAGTGCAGCGGCACGATCTTGGCTCACTTCAACCTCTGCCAAGATCCTCACTTTAAAGGAAATTTTGAACCAGGGGAGTGATTCCCAAAAGCTTTCATTTCCAAATCCCATGGTCCTACCACTGTACCCTGCTTTTCCTTAATGAATCATTTGAAGACAGCTGAGGAATATTCCTTTCTACCTGCCTAGTATGGAATCGCTCTCAACCTTAAGCACATTCCTCAGAGAGCTTTCCTAATTTAAAAGGTCTGAGACTATGGGATTTATAGGAAGAGAACCAAGAAAGGAGAAAAGGCGAAAAACAAAAGTAGTGATACTTATTCTATAAAGAGTATTGATTGGGAGGTTGAGGCAGGCAGATCACCTAAGGTTGGGAGTTCAACACCAGCCTGGCCAACATGGTAAAACCCCATCTCTACTAAAAATACAAAAATTAGCTGGACGTGGTGGGGCATGTCTGTGGTCCCAGCTACTCGGAAGGCTGAGTCACGACAGTCGCTTGAGCCCAGGAGGCATAGGTTGCAGTGAGTCGAGATGGCACCACTGCACTCCAAGCCTGGGTGACAGAGCGAGACTCTGTCTCCAAAAAAAAAAGATAGTATTGATTGTTGAAGTCTTCAGGAATCATAGAAATTGGGCAGTAAAAGAGTTGAGGGGGATGAGAGATATTCAAATAAAAACAGTGAGGACTAGAGAGCTGTAGGGCCAGATTAAAAATAAAATGAGAAAGTATATTAAACTTTATAAAAGGCAAGGAGATGACAGAATTTCATTTGCCATTAGGAACAGGGTAAACACTAATGTGGCAAATACAAGGAAACCCAACTGAATGAGAAATAAATATTGAGATCATTACACTTGCTAGTGATCATCCAAATGTGTGGGCTGGGTCATTGAGACAAGGTATGAATGATCCTGCTGCTAACAAGCGTGAAGCTTGCCAACTGAAAGTTTCAGATTGTGAGCAACTCAGCTGGAAATTGTATAGCTTTGGCTTAAACGATGTTTCCGCAGATAATGAAAACTTTACCAAAATCATTCTACTTCACAGAGAGATTAAAAGAGATATTCTGAGCTAGTTTTTTTCTGTGTGGTTGCATACATTAATCAGACTTAGAGATGATAGCCTTAGCTCTGTGCCCTGGCAAAGATAAGAACTATACAGTACTTTTTTTTCTAACAAAAATTTCACAATAATTTAACGGTAAAATTAGAAATAGCTAAGGAATAAACTAAACATATCCCTTAAATTAACAAATATAGGAGGTTAGAATGCAATCAACATTAATTGGAACTTCTATTTTTGTTTAAGATTTTTCTCCATAAGTTTTGTGAGACTTCCATGTGGTTTTGGCAAAAGTAATGAATATCTAAAATTTCCTGTTATTGCCATAGTACATCGTGCTATTTGACTATTATTACAGCTATCTTTATACATTTTAGCATTTTGTAAATAATTTTCAAATATATATGAACAAGGAATTTAGACAAATGCTTCATTTAAAGCTTTAAAAATGGTCAAGAAACCCCTTAATCAAATTTTTCAGTTTGTATAGAATATAATTTTAAAAAATTACATTCCAAATATGTGATGTTGGGTGTGAGAAGGAGTCTACAAACTTAAGTTACAATCCCAGTTTTGTAACATTTAAAATGTGTGACTATGAGTAGGCCAATTTTTTCTAAGTCTCAGTTTTCTTATTCTGTAAAACGAAGGTATTTCTGCCTTTCATCACCCTTAAATATTTGTGGTGCAACTCATGACAAAACATTCATAAAACTTCAGGGAATAAAAAACTTAGGCTCTGTAACAACTCACAAAAGGGAAATTACGTAATATGACTTCAGCCATTTGTTTGGCAATTTTTAATGCACTCAGCAAAAGGCACCTTCCACAGCACTTTTCTTCAGCCCTACAGCTGTGTGAGGATCTGCCTTGTCCCCCTAGACTAGTGTAAGATTGTTCTGTTTCCTGTGATTGAAGTCAACGTGGATTAAAGCATCCTGCAGGCTGCCCCATGATGTACGTCATGTACTGCTACAGTCTGTATGGAGAGCTGAGCATTTGTAATTTGAATCCTTTCTTTGACTGAAAGAAACAGTTTCTAAAATCTTTGTCTTGGGAAGGTATGGTGTATACTTGCCCTGTGATCCATCCCAAACTTACCTGGGGTGGTACTCCTCTCCCAGGAGACTGTGAGCACTCCAGTGTCAGGGTTTGTCTCCAGATGCAAGTTTGTTGGTGGAGACAATGCTATGGAGAAAGAAAATTTTAAAAGTTAAAGCTGACACAAAGCTCTTGACCTGTGTAATCTTTCCTCCTTCCCTACCTCCCCTCTCTTCCACGCTTCTTGCCTCCCTCCCTCCCATATAAATATAGGTTACATTATGAAAACATGATGGACAGCAGCAGTTCTCTGACAAAGACTTTTTTTATGATTAATGATTTTGCAATACTATTGAAATTGTTTTCATCTTGCCTGTTCATAAATATTCTTGACATGGAAGGAACATTTCTGATGCCATAAAATATAAAGCATGAATTGAACCTGCTACTCCAAATTCAGGAATAGCATTAATAATTTAAGTAAGGATAAGATATCTCCCCTGTGCCATTCTCATAAGTAAAAAGTGATATTGACACTAGATTTTTTTCAAAAAGTGGAACAGTTTTAAAAACTAATAGAAAAGGGAAAAAGAGTTCTTCTTACGTGTCACCACTTTGTTTACAATTGGCGCATCTCTTTCCTGTCCGTCTCTCAGGACTTGGATGGTGTAGACATATTCCACTCCTGGAGTCAAGCCAGACACAACGATGCTTCCTGAGTCTGAAGTCACTTCTCGTGGTGCCTCTCCTCCCTGGCTTGGTCGTACACCCAGCTAGAGGAAGGAAAGCAAAATAAACACCAAGGACGAATATTTCCAGAGGCCTGTTACTGCTGTGAGGTTGTGATTATGCTTTAAATAGCGTAAACTCTTCAGAAACTGCACAATGTACTTTTATTAGGAAATGATTTGGGGACTCTTTTATATACTTTAGCTGGAAATTCCCCAAGGTGGGGAAGGTATCTTCCAAACTGCATTAAGGTGGATTGTTATGGAAGGTTCCAGAGAAATGTCATTACATACTGTTTTGCTTGATAAAGAATCTCTTGTTACAAACCAGACATACCCAGGGACTGTGGGCCACATGGTATTTTGTTTCTATTTTTCTGTGTGTGTGCTGCAAGGAATGTTTGAGCTCTCCCTTTAACGAGTTATTCACATTCAATTCACCTTTTAGTTGCCATATAAAGGCACTAGCCCCTGTAGCAACTGTATTGCAAAAACACACCTTTCGAAGAGCTATGTTCATAGCTTCAACTGCAGGATGATACATTACAAGAGAAGAATTAGAATAACTATGCCCATAATTTAAAATCCTTTTAAGATCCTTTTTCAAAAACTCAGGTAACACTGTGCTATCAAATAGTGTCCAACTCTAAAGAGATCCTTCACACACCATAAGGCTTCTGAAAGTCAGCATGACATTCAGGGAATTTAAAAGGTATACTGGCAATCTTCAAAAAGTTCCTCTGTATTTGAGTAGCATAATCATAAGTATGGCCATTCATATACTTTATCTTTGGTGTATTTTTTTAAACAATCAAGGGGCTTGAGTCATGATTTCCAGCGATAACAAATATTTCTGTCTTCACACTAAATGCCAAAGAATGGAATTCTTTTAAACATATTCATTTGTATTCATCACTTCCCTAATATCATTACTTTAAAGAAGATGAATCCAGATATCCACAGGGAAACCTTAATCTTAACTTCTATTAAGAGATTTACCCGCAGTGCTTTGAACAGTTGGAGATGAAACTGATTGGATGAAAATGCGATTTTTAAGTGACTCTGAGTTTAATTGATCTCCCTAAATTGGCTTTTGTGAACTTGTTCACACCCATTTAGAATGACACATCAAATAAAGTTTTCCTATGTTTTTTTGAAATGTAGTTCCCTGCGGGAAAGGATAGAGAAAATAAGATAACAACAAGCAGCAGCTTCGTGCTAATGTTTTATCCTTAGAAAAGCACTTTCATAGCCTCCATCCATTCTTGGAACAATTCAGTGAGGTAGGCAGGGAAGGATTGTTAGGCCCTGACAATGTAGTCAAAGATGTATGAACAGAAGCAGGTGACAAAACCCAGGTCTCCTGACTCCTGAGCACCCTGTTTCCACTACATGGGAAACACAAGGACAGCTCAGGGCTGTATCACAGAGATTAGGAACATGGGCAGTTTACCTTAAAACCAATTCTTGGAGCAGGTGTCCATGTGATCACAATGGTGGTCTCGGTCACCTCGGTGTTGTAAGGTGGAATGGAGCTCCCAGGCTGCACTGTGAGAGAGAATCAATGCACGTTTTCAAAACTCAAAATCACAGATGATTTCATAGAATAGAGATAACAAGTATCTTTATAGAGAACCTCAGTTTAACCAAGCAGTGGATAAAGAATGTAACATATTTTTTCATTGGGTGAGAATTGGGAGAGGATCAGGCTTCTCAATCTTTAATGTGCCACACACATCATCTGGGTCTGGCTAAAATGCAGATTCTGTTTCTGGAGGTCTAACAAAGAACTAGGGAGTTCGCATTTCTGACAAACACAGATGATACCGATTTTGTTGGCCCGTGAATTATACCTGAGTAACAAGGGGTTAAATATTCGCTAAGGCAGTCTTTTCAATGAAATTATATAATCTAATTCATGTCTTTCCATCATTGTTGGGATTTGAGTTTTATGACAATAAATTTCCCTATATCGTCAGTGTAAAATCCCTTATAAAATGTACAACTGGCCACCACAAAGTGATTATCGTATTGTTTCTTAATCATTAATTTAAGAACAATGGTAAATTATAGATGGTGATCTAAAAACAGTTTTATGCTGGGCAGGGATTGGTGTCTCATGCCGGTAATCCCAGCACTCTGGGAGGCTGAGGTGGGTGGATCATTTGAGGTTAGGAGTTCGAGACCAGCCTCGCCAACATGGTGAAACCCTGTCTCTACTAAAAATATGAAAAATTAGCCGGTCATGGTGGCTCGTGCCTGTAGTCCCAGCTGCTGGGGAGGCTGAGACACAAGAATCGCTTGAACCCTGGAGGTAGAGGTTGCAGTGAGCCGAGATCATGCCATTGCACTCCAGCCTGGGTGACAGA